CTTTGAGGTTGGAAGGTGCTGCCTGACGATCTTTCTGGTGAATTAGTGAACCTGATGGGTTTTCCTGACAATTGGTCATCATTAGATTCTCAATTCCACCATCTGCCGTGACGGGATTTGAACCTGAATCCCCAGAATAATACCTGGGTCTCTGGATTAATGGTCCAGCAATAATACCACTAGGCCATCACCTCCCCACATTGTTATTGCAATGTGCCTGCAATTTCCCTTCAGTGAAACTGCTGAGAAATCTGTGTTACTTTGTCTTCCTATTCGCTTCTTTCCAGTGAATGTCAAAATAAGGCCAAGATCGTTCTTTTTTTTAAAATTCACTCATGGGATGTGGGCATCGCTGGCTGGGCCTGCATTTATAGCCTGTCCCTAGTTGCCCATGAGGAGGTGATGGTGAAAGGATGGGGCAAGGACAAATTTTGTGGATCTTTCTCATCTGGAGCTCAGGACAACATTTGTTCAGTTTGAAAACGAGAGACAGGCTGCTGAAGGGAAATGTCAGGAAATATTTTTTCAGACAGGTAATTGAAACCTGGAGGCTTCTCCACTTGAAAACAAAACCTCTTGAAGCTGGAAAGGCTGGCTGACGTTGCTAGGCAGAGGAGCTTAGTGGACGCAGAACTAAGATGGGTTTCCGTTCCATTTTAGCCATGATCCAATTGAATAGTGAAATAAGGAGGCTAAATGACTTCAGAGTGCAGATGCTGTACTGAAATCAAAAAAAATTGCTGGAGATCACCAATAGGTCAGGCAGCATCCATGGAGAGATAGCAAGCTAACCTTTCAAGTCTAGAGATGACTTTTCACCAGCTCTGATGAAAAGTCATCTACACTTGAAACTTTCTGAAACTTCGCTTTCTGTCCATGGACACTGCCTGACCTGCTGTGACTTCCAGCGATTTTATTTTCAGGCTGAATGACTTACATTTTCTCCTTCATGGGGTGCCATTGGTACTGGAAAGGCTGGCATCTTGCACCCATCCCTAGTTACTCTTAAATTGAGGGGATTGTTTGCTGTAGGTCTGGAGTCTCATGTAGGCTAACTTTGGAAAGGGAAGGACCTTCTCCAAAGGACATTAGCTGGGGTCCACAGGACAATTGAGGATGACTTTGTGGTCACCATCATTGCATCTAACTTCATGCCAACTGAAGTTAAACCCAATCAGCTGCCATATTGGGATTTGAGCCTATGCCTGCACAGCAACAGACTGGCATCTCAGGATTACTAGCCCAATGACGTTACGTTCCACCACCATCAGCCACTTCTGTTCCTGTATCTCTCTCTCTCTCTCTCTCGCGCTTAATGGTGGATGGGCAGTAAAGAGGCACAATGTTTCTCTGTGCACTTGGACAAAGCCATCTTCTCAAGGGCAACTAGGGACGGGCAACAAATGCCAGCCCAGCCAGCGATGCCCACGTCCCACCAGTGAAATAGAGAAAAAGAACAGTCTTGGCCTTATTTTGACATTCGTTTGGAATGAAGTGAATAAGAAGGCAAAGCAAAATAGATTTCTCAGGACAGAGGCCACACCAGCCTTGCAGCCTGAAGCACAGTGCAGCCCCTTTTTGATCATGAGGAAGTTGAATGGCCCAGAGGTCTCGGGGTTACTGCAGCCAACATCATGTGTGACGGTGTGATCATTCTCACTGCTACTATTGTTTACCCGAAATGGCAAACATTCTCCCATGTCCTGTTAAGGCTTCCGTTCAATCTGAAAATTGGCACGCCAGTCAAAATGGTCCTGACCCATTGAATGTCACCTGTACTAGCAACATCCTCAAACACACACCATCCACCCCATCCCTGAAACAGCTGAGAAGACCAAATTCCCAACGCAAGATGGAGCACACTTTGCCAACATCCATTAAGGGTGGCACAGTGGCTCAGTGGTTAGCACTGCTGCCTCACAGCACCAGGGACCCGGGTTCAATTCCCTCCTCGGGTGACTGTCTGTGTGGAGTTTGCGCATTCTCCCCGTGTCTGCGTGGGTTTCCTCCGGGTGCTCTGGTTTCCTCCCACAGTCCAAAGATGTGCAGGCTAGGTGGATTGGCTATGCTAAATTATCCCATAGTGTCTACAGATATGCAGGCTAGGTGAATTGGCCATGTTATAGTGTCCAGAGGTGTGCAGGCTAGGCAGGTTAGCCATGGTAAATGCAGGGCTATGGTGATAGTGTAGGGAGCTAGGTCTGAGTGGAATGCTCTTCAGAGGGTAAGTGCAGACTCAATAAGCCAAATGGTCTCTTTCTGCACTGTTGGGATTCTATGCAGAATTTACAAAACTTCTTTGAGAAGGCTGTGTGGGAATTTCAGGAATCTTGCTTCCCAGACCAGGAGATACTGGTTGATAAAATATAATGACCTTCATATGGAGAGTAAAAGGTCACACGTGATCACAAAGCAGCAACAACAAATGAATGGGGGTCAATATGGGAGGGGGGATATGCCAGGGACTGGGCCAGCATTTATTGCCCATTCCCTTGAGAAGGTAGTGGTGAGTTGCCTTCTTGAACTGCTGCAGTCCCTGTGCTGTAGGGAGATCCACAGTGCTGTTAGGGAGAGAATTCTAGGATTTTGACACAGCGAAACTGAAGGAACAGTGATATATTTCCAAGTCAGGATGGTGGGTGGCTTGGAGGGGAACTTGCAGGCAGACCATTTTATCTATTTACATTTGTCCTTCTAGATGGTAGAAGTTGTGGGCTTGGAAGGTGTTGTCTAGGTAGCCTTGGCCAATATCTGGAGTGTATTTAGTACACGATATACACTGCCCTAGGAACAAAAATGTGAATTACTCCGACCAGACTGACTCACGTTGCCTGCTGTATGCCAACTCGACTTTCACAGCTTTCTAGATACACCTGAAATAACAGCTTATCAATGCCAAGTCTGGCACGCAGAACAGGCATCAATCATAGCACCTTCTGGCCTGGAAGGAGGCCATTTGGTCCATCATGACTGTGCCAGCTCTTTAAAAGAGAAGTTGCGATGAGCTCTGTACTGCTGCTTTTAATCTGGAACTTGTAAGTCTCTCACTTCCCTGCACCTGTCCAAATCCCTTTTATAATTATCAGTAGAAATAACTTCCAACACTTTCTATGGTCAAACAGTCCTGATCCCAAAAGCTCCACATTTCGTCTCACTTCCCATTTGGAACTTTCTGCCAACAATTCAATCATACAGTGGATTAGGTGAAAGTAAGAACTGCCAATGCTGGAGAATCTGAGATAACAAGGTGTAGAGCTGGAAGAACAAAACAGGCCAAACAGCATCAGAGGAGCAGGAAAGCTGATGTTTCGGGTCTGGACCCTTCTTTTTTCTGAAGAAAGGTCCACACCTGAAACGTCAGCTTTCCTGCTCCTTTGATGCTGCTTCGCCTGCTGTGTTCATCCAGCTCTACACCTTGTTATCTTAGTGGATTAGGTAGGGCTTTTCAACCCAGACCTCCTGGCTCAGAGGTAGGGACACTGCCTCTGCACTATATGAGCCCTCCATCAGCATTTGCATTAAGGCCTGTAGTACAGACATTGTCCAAGCACAATATAAACTCCTCCACAAGAGACAACTGTGGCCCAGAGCACTGGAAAGCCACACTCCTGGCATTCTGCATCACCCAGCAACAAAAGGAGAGAATTACAGATCCTGGGTCACTCTTAGCAAACTCTACACATTAGCAAACCTGATCAGAATGCAGTTAATAAACTTGAGTAAAGCAGCAGATTGATTAGCCACAAAGCTCATTCATTTCAGGAGCAGTTAGGTTGAGTTTCAGTCAAGTTTGGTTGACACACCAGCAGGAGTCAGAGAGTGTTAGAACATTTACTGTATGTAAAAAGGCTCTACAGCCCATTCTGCCTATGCTGGTCATCAAACATCATCTGTTCTATTGCCTGCACTTGGCCTGTAGCTTTGCATGCTATGGTGTTTCAAGTGCACATCTAAATACTTGTACAATGTCTTGAGGGTTCTTACCTCAGATTGCTCCTCAGCCTTCTCTGCATTGAGGACAACAGTCCCAGTCTATCTCGTCAGCAATGGGTTTGATTTCCACTCCCAATCTCCTGTCCTGATCTTACTCCAGTTCATTTCAAGTGGGAGAATGTTCCACTTTATTCAAATGCAAAATGATTTCAAATTGGATACAGAGTAACCATCAAACCTGTCCCCATACAGGGGCCTCCTTTGTTACCCCACAGCATTGTCCACCTCAGAGAGTCTCCCCATTGAATATCGGTTCGTGTGTGCATGTATGTGTCGGTGTGTGAGAGTGGGCGAGTCTTTGCTTTTTTGTGTGGGTGAGTGAGAGTGGGCGAGTATTTGTGTCTGTGTGGGTGTGAGAGATCGGGCCAGTGTTTGTTTGTGTGGGTGTATGAGAGTGGGTGACTGAGTGTGTATGTGTGAGTTTGGCTGGAGTGTGTGTGTGTGTGTGTATGTGTGTAAGCACGGTTGAGTGTATGTGTGCATACTTGTCAGTATGTGTGTGAGTGAGTGAGTGTTTGAGTGTCGTTGTGTGAGAGTGGTTGAGTGCGTGTATATATCTGTGTCCGTGTGTGTGTGTGTGTGTGTGTAAAAGAAATCGAATTTAAAACTTTAAACACAACAGGTAGATAAATATTGAAACTTTTGTCTGTGAATGTGTGTGTTTGTGTGTGCATATAACTATATATATGTATCTGTTCAATAATTAAAGCCAATATTACATTGGTTTCATAATTCTGGGTCTGAGTTGCAGTTGTAAATTAGATTTTTGCCTCTGATAAAACAATATATGAACAGTATGTTATGCACAGTAACAGTGCCTCACTTGTATCATTGATCTCAAATTACTGCACCTTTACTTGCACTAATGCAGGCCGCTGATGACTAACTGAGCGATCTATCCAACAGCAGACAGTTTACCTCTCTAAACGAGGGGATTAGTTTGCAGTCTTGGGTTTCAGACACAGCATAGAGTGAAATAGGGAGAAAAACAAGAAATGTATAGTTACCTTTTGCTATCTGGCATCTGGATCCAGGAGATCTTCTATGAAGAGAGCAGTTCTGAGGAGGTCTGATATGAGTCACTAGCGTTCAGCAATGTCATGACAAAGACTGATCTAATGGTGTGACAGCAAAACAAGGTCTGCGCAAGATCTCATGGGCTGGTGTGTTTCGAGGTGAGACCGGTAGCTTTGTGGCTTGTTCCGACAATGACAAAGCTGCTGAGGCGGTTGGTCAAAGAGGAAATGGAAAATAAGGTAGATTGAGGCGTCTGTGCTTCAGCAGCAGAAAGGATTTTTAAAAAAAAATTGATGACACTGTCCTGTCAGAGAAGGAGAAGTCTCTCCCATCTTGTGTCCATCCTCTGCTTATCCCAAATCCATCACAGAGCGATGGTTTGGAACATCTACCAGAATATTGACTTCTGATGAGAATCTCCTTGAGACCACTGACCCGGGTTATATATTTCCCCATGCATATGAAATATAGCACAGAAACATCATGGCTGAGGAAGAGCGAGCAGATTAGAGCCTTCCTTTTTTCTCTTTGTATTCATTTGTGGGATGCGGGCATCACTGGGTGGGCCCAGCATGTATTGCCCGTCCCTAGTTGCCCCTTGAGAAGGCGTTGGTGAGCTGCCCCCTACTCTTTCCCCAAAGCGCTGCAAATTTACAAGTCATTTATTCAAGAAATTTTTTCTAAGATTTTAAAGACATCAAGAGGAATGGGGAGAGAGCAGGAACATGGCGTTGAGATCAGCCATGATCATACTGAATAGCAGAGTAGGTGCGAAGGGCTGAATGGCCTACTTTTCCTTGTTTCTCTGTCATTTTTCTGCACAATTTTCTGTCGAAAGGTGCCATTGAGTCTGCTTCTATCACCCAAATGGACAACTGGGTGTCATCCCTCAACAGATTAGGTTTAGTCTTAAAGTGACAGTCCTTTCTTTGGTGTTCACTAATGTCAGAGGATATTATCTCTCCAGCTGCCTTCCTTTGGTAAGCTTAAGCACATTGATTTGATGATCTATTTTCCTTTAATGTTGTACAACATTGTTACATCCTTGTTACTTAACCCTGTTAGTCTCTGAATGGAATTAGAACTGAAATGGAATAAAAATCTGGAAGATTCTGTTAATTTACATCACAGGAATTTGGCGAGTTAGCACATTTGCATATTTTCTGCCCCTAACTGCAGGAACTACAATTAAGTTAGATGTTGTATTTTCTTACACAGACTGAATGTGCTACACAGTAGAGGATGGCCTAGGGGAGCTATTGCAACATTATCACTCCAACAATCCAGCTAATATCTTGGGGACCCAGGTTCGAATCCTGCCACAGCAGATGGTGGAATTTTAATTAAATTTCTTAAAAGTCAAGAATTAAGAATCAACTGACACTTATTGTCAGAAAGTCTCATCTGGCTCACTAGTGCGCTTCAAGGAGGGAAATCTGCCATGCTTACCCGGTCTGGCCTACACGTGACTCCAGGCTCACAGCAAGGTGGTTGACTGTCAACTGTCCTCTGAAATGGCTTAGAGAGCCTCTCAGTTCAAAGGCAACTGGGGATGGCAATAAATGCTGGCCAGCCAGAAATGTCTGTGTCCCATGAATGGAACCAGATTAAGTGGATGTTAAAGGCTGCTTTTTTTTCCTTTATTCATTCACAGGACGAGGGCGTATCTGGTTAGGCAGCATTTATTGCCCAGAGGGCAGTTAAGAGTCAACCACATTACTGTGGGTCTGGAGTCACATGTAGGCCAGACCAGGTAAGGATGGCAATTTCCTTCCCTAAAGGACATTAGCGAACCAGATGGGTTTTGTTTTCCTGACAATCAACAATGGATTTAACAGTCACCATTAGATTGTTAATTCCAGATTTTTTTTTCCAAATTGAATTCAAATTCCACCATCTGCTGTGGCAGGATTCAAGCCCAGGCCCCCAGAACATCATCTGGGTTTCTGGATTAACAGTCCAGCGATAATACCACTAGGCCATTGCCAAGTAGGTTTATGGGCCTGTTAGTGTTAACATTTCATAGGGGTCTACACTTGGGCAGCAAACCCCTGCCTGAAATTACCCACTTGGGGCTGGCACCACTCCCACTCCCACTGTGACCTGATCCCACTCAGTGTCACCCTTCTCTCAGCACCATCTTGGCTTTCCATCTCGACCGTACTCTCTCAGCCTCAGCTCCCCTGCCAGTCCTGTCCATTCAGCTAGGCCCACCATGCCTTTGCTTCTTCTGAACGTTGCCCGTCAAATCTTAGCTCCTCAGCCTCATCTCCAAGTGCCTGCCCCCTTTGCCATACCCATGCCAAAATCACTCCCTCCCTCAACCTCATGGTCTCCTTAACTTCATTCATCTCAGCCTTGTCCCCTCAGTTGTGGGACCTCCCAGCCTCACCCCCTCACTCAACATCAATCCACTCGTTTCACCCCCATCAACCTCACTCCCTCTTAAGATCCAGCCCTCAGCCTCAAATTCCCCTCAGCCTCACCTTTACCACCCTCACTATCCTCACCCTCCCTATCCCCAACCTCACTCTCCCCACTCTCCTTATCACCACCCTCACTATCCCCACTTTCCTTATCACCATCCTCAGTGACCCCACCCTCACTGTCCCCACCCTCACTATCCTCACACTCATTAACCTTACCCTCACTATCTTCACCCTCCCTATCCCCGCCCTCACTGTCCCCACCCTCACTATCCTCACATTCATTAACCTCACCCTCATTGTCCTCACCCTCACTTTCCCAGCCTCACTATCTCCACCCTCCCTATCCCCACCCTCACTAACCCCACCTGCACTGTCCTCATACTCACCAGCACCACCCTCACTATTCCCACCCTTAATGTCCTCACACTCATTAACTCCACCCTGACTGTCTCCACCCTCACTATTGTCACCTTCACTACCTCCATCCTCATTATCCCTACTCTCACTATCACCACGCTTACTATCCCCAACCTCACTGCCTCCACCCACACTGTCCCCAAGCTCGCCATTCCCACCCTCGCCATCCCCATCCTCACTCCCCCTCCCCATCGCCTCAGCCTCATTCCTTCAACCGTTTCTCCTTCACTTTACTCCACACTGCTCCCTGCTCAGCCTCAACCTGTTCTCCACCTCACAGCCCTCACTTCATTCCCAAAGCCTCACCTCCCCCGGCCTTGCTACCTCAACCTTGTCTCCCACTCTCTGCTTATTCCCGGGATATTTTCTTGCTGCTGGCTTGCTTGTGGATTATGGTTTGGAAGTGAGGGCAGGTCCCACGACTGGTGGTGAGGGGTGATTGCAAATTGGGGTCCGGTGACTGGAATTGGGGGTTTGGGGAGGAAGCTAGTCAGGTGTAGGTGATTGGGATTCAGATTCTGGTTTCACAATTGCGGGTCAACACTGAGGAAGGGGGAGGACTTCTTATTATTCACTCGTAGGATGTGAATATCGCTGGATGTCCAGCATTTATTGCCCGTCCCTAGTTGCCCCTTGAGAAGGTGGGGGTGAGCTGCCTTCTCAAACTGCTGCAGTCCACCTGCAGTGGGTTGACCCACAATGCCCTTAGGGCGGGAATTCCTGGAGTTTGACCCAGCGACAGTGAAGGAACGGCAATATATTTCCAAGTCAGGATGGTGAGTGGCTTGGAGGGGAACTTGTAGAGAGTGGTGTTCCCATGTATCAGCTGCCCTTGTCCTTCTAGATGGAAGTGGTCATGGGTTTGGAAGGTGCATCTAAGGATCTTCGGTGAACTTCTGCAGTGCATCTTGTAGATAGTACACACTGCTGCTACTGAGTGTTGGTGGTTATGTGACTGAATGTTTGTGGATGTGGTGCCAATCAAGCGGATTGCCTTGTCCTGGATGATATTGAGCTTCTTGAGTGTTGTTGGAACTACACCCATCCAGGCAAGTGGTGAGTATTCCATTACACTCCTGACTTGTGCCTTGTAGATGGTGGACAGGCTTTGGGGAGTCAGGAGGTGAGTTCCTCGCTGCAGTATTCCTAACCTCTGACCTGCTCTTGTAGCTGTTGTGTTTATGTGGTGAGTCCAGTTGAGTCTTCGGTCAATGGTGACCCCCAAGATGTTAAGCAAGGATAGGTGCCTGCTGTAAGTAAATGGGGATTGGAAGGGGGTGAGTGGAGCAGGGTAGAATTGGCAGGAAAAGGGGGACGAAAGCAGACTGGTGATCGGGTCCTTGGCCATAGTGTCAGGTGGTACAAACCTGCTCTTCCTCATGACATTATCCATCATTTTTCCTCGCACACATCAGCAGTCAGTTCAGTCCTGGGTGGGGAGTAGTCTCTGCTGGATACGGCTGGAATGGGAGACCTAAAGGAGGGTTTGAGCTCTGCTATTTGCATCTAAAAGGCCATGGTTTGTTTTTCTATTCATTCATGGGATGAGGGTGTTGCTGGCTAGGCCAGCATTTATTGCCTATCCCTAATTGCCCAGAGGGCAGTTATGAGTCAACCACATTGCTGTGGGTCTGGAGTCACATGTAGGCCAGACCAGGTAAGGATGGCAGTCTGCTTCCCTAAAGGGCATTAATGAACTAGATGGGTTTTTCCTGACAACCGGCAATTGATTCATGGTCGTCATTAGACTCTTAATTTCAGATATTTATTGAATTTAAGTTCCACCATCTGCCACGGTGGGATTTGAACCCAGGTCCCCAGAACATTATCGGGATTAACAGCTCAGTGATAATACCATTAGGCCATTGCCTTTCCTGAAGGGGGGTGGGCCGGTGATTAATGCCTGCAACTCCACACTGATAACCCTTGACCCAGCGCACAGCTGGGCTTCAAATATGGCACCAGTGCCAGGCATCTTGGGATGACCTTTGCCCAATATGGCGTTCAGCCACTCCTTTGGCTAAAAATTACTGGTGAGCTCCCTGACCACCATTTTGTGGGAGTGGCTGATGAAACAGCTCAACATTTGAAGCCTGGTTGAACCAGATCAACAAAACCTCAAAGAGACAAGAAATAAAAGCAGCTGGTAAGAGAACCACTGTGCCCCCCACCCCCACCAAATGTCTGTCCATCCCAAGCCTGAAGTGTAATTGACGACGGAGTGTCTACAGGATT